TAAATATGATTGTAAACCCTAATGAGTGGCATAATTTTAGATGAACGTTTATATGGATCCATCCTAAAAAGGCAACAAGTCCACAATATAGCAAAACTTTGTGCTTATAGCAGTGTGTCTTGCAAGTGTCTAGTGGTGCAGAGTGTTTTTCGGTTCAGACGACGTACCGCAGTGTATCTATAGATAATTTAGTTCATCTTTCAAGACGTTTGAGACCGGTTTAAAAGGTAGCCTTATTAATCGTCAGCAAATTTAAATGAGGTAAACAATTTTCATTCCTGTCTTTTACCCCCAACTATGTAGTGGAATCGGGTGTGACGGTTAGCAATTTGTAGAAGTCATCATCAGCTTAAATACGACAAATATGATTGTAAGACCTAATTAGTGCCAAAGATCAATTCCTGAAGAGACCAGAAATCCACAACATTTGAGCAAGACTTTGTGCTTATAGCATAATATAATAACAAATAACAACAGTCTAGTGATACCCGGTGCCTAGTGTTCACAGTTTTTCGGTTCAGATGAAGTGCCTCAGTGTATATCTATCGTGATAATGTATTTCATCCTTGAAGAAGTTTGAGAGGTACCCTTATTAATCGTCAGCAGAAGGTAAACATAATTTTCATTCCTGTCAAATCATAAAACATTTACACTGAAGAAAGAACGTGCTATCCTTAGGCGAACACGGTTCACATGTGTCAAGCGCCATTTTTTGTAAGTGCGGTAGCTAGACATGCGACGTTGCCGGATCCTCACATAAATCGGAGTTTGTCATACAATTTTATAGAGGGCATTAATGCTATATCGAAGATTTTATAATGCCATTGTGTGTTATTTATGGTGACACATGCGACGTTGCCGGCTCCTCACATAAATCTGAGTTTGTCATACAATTTTATAGAGGGCATTAATGCTATATCGAAGATTTTATAAGGCCATTGTGTGCTATTGATGGTGACACATGCGACGTTGCCGGCTCCTCACATAAATCTGAGTTTGTCATAAAATTTTATAGAGGGCATTAATGCTATATCGAAGATTTTATAATGCCATTGTGTGTTATTTATGGTGACACATGCGACGTTGCCGGCTCCTCACATAAATCTGAGTTTGTCATACAATTTTATAGAGGGCATTAATGCTATATCGAAGATTTTATAATGCCATTGTGTGCTATTAATGGTGACACATGCGACATTGAAAAATGAAAAATGAATGAATAATGAAAAATGCAAAATGAAAAATGAAAAATGAAATATGAAGAATGAAAAGTGAAAAACGACAAATGAAAAATGAAAAACGAAAAACCAAAAACGAAAAACGAAAAACGGAAAACCGGAAACGGAAAACGGAAAACGGAAAACGAAAAATGAAAACTTATAAAAGATGACAGGTACCAGATACCAGATACCAGAAACCAGATACCAGATACCAGACACCAGATACCAGACAGCAGACACCGGATACGAGATACCAGACACCAGATACCAGACACCAGATACCAGAAACCAGATACCAGATCCACATACCAGATACTAGACACCGGATACCAGATACCAGAAACCAGATACCAGATCCACATACCAGATACCAGATACCAGACACCAGATACCAGATACCAGATACTAGATACCAGACACCAGATACCAGACACCAGATACCAGACACCAGATACCAGATACCAGACACCAGATACCAGATAGCAGATACCAGAAACGAGATACCAGATACCAGACACCAGATACCAGATAAAAAGATAACAGATACCAAATACCAAATACCAGATACCAGATACCACACACCAGACACCAGATACCAGACACCACATACGAGATACCAGATACCAGATACCAGACACCAGATACCAGATACCAGACACCAGATACCAGATACCAGACACCAGATACCAGATACTAGACACCAGATACCAGATCCACATACCAGATACCAGATACCAGATACCAGATACCAGACACCAGACACCAGATACCAGATACTAGATACCAGACACCAGATACCAGACACCAGGCACCAGATACCAGACACCAGATAGCAGATACCAGAAACGAGATACCAGATACCAGATAAAGAGATAACAGATACCAAATACCAAATACCAGATACCAGACACCAGACACCAGATACCAGACACCACATACGAGATACCAGATACCAGACACCAGATACCAGACACCAGATACCAGACACCAGATACCAGACACCAGATACCAGATACCAGAAACCAGACACCGGATACCAGACACCAGATATCAGATACCAAATACCAAGTACCAGATACCAGATACCTGATACCTGATACCAGATACCAGACACCAGACACTAGATACCAGACACCAGATACCAGACACCAGACACCAGATACCAGATACCAGACACCAGATACCAGATACCAGTTACCAGATACCTGATACCAGACACCAGATACCAAACACCAGACATCAGACACCAGATACCAGACAACAGACACCAGACACCAGATCCCAGACACCAGATACCAGATACCACACACCAGATACCAGACACCAGATATCAGATACCAGACACCAGATACCAGATAAAGAGATAACAGATACCAAATACCAGATTCCAGATACCAGATACCAGACACCAGATACCAGATACCAGACACCAGATACCAGACACCAGATACCAGACATCAGATACCAGACACCGGATACCAGATACCAGACACCAGATACCAGACACCAGATACCAGATACCAGATAAAGAGATAACAGATACCAAATACCAGATACCAGACACCAGATACCAGATACCAGATACCAGACACCAGATACCAGACACCAGATACCAGATACCAGACATCAGATACCAGACACCGGATACCAGATACCAGACACCAGATACCAGACACCAGATACCAGATACCAGACATCAGATACCAGATACCAGACACCGGATACCAGATCCCAGACACCAGATACCAGATACCACACACCAGATACCAGACACCAGATATCAGATACCAGACACCAGATACCAGATAAAGAGATAACAGATACCAAATACCAGATTCCAGATACCAGATACCAGACACCAGATACCAGATACCAGACACCAGATACCAGACACCAGATACCAGATACCAGACATCAGATACCAGACACCAGACACCAGATACCAGACACCAGATACCAGACACCAGATACCAGATAAAGAGATAACAGATACCAAATACCAGATACCAGACACCAGATACCAGATACCAGATACCAGACACCAGATACCAGACACCAGATACCAGATACCAGACATCAGATACCAGACACCGGATACCAGATACCAGACACCAGATACCAGACACCAGATACCAGATACCAGACATCAGATACCAGATACCAGACACCGGATACCAGATACCAGACACCAGACACCAGATACCAGATACCAGATACCTGATACCAGATACCAGATACCAGATCAAAGATGCCAAAGGATAAAAAATGATTAGAGATAGGGATAAAGTTATCGCTAGCATTGCATTAGGATACCAGCAACTGCGCTACGTGACGTTTTAAATAAAGACATCAACGTGCAATATTTTGCATAGCGTTAGCGTGCCAGCAACTGCGCTAGTTTCTATTATTATAACACGTTTGTGATATCAATTGCTTTTAAAGTGACCTGCACATCTACAGTGTTGCCGAACCGGCCAAAAAAAACGGAATCGGTAAATAGTGTCATTCAATTCGGTATAAGGAAAATGCCGTCCCAAGATCAGTAGTAGATCAAGGACCTTTGAGTCATGAAAAAAGTCTGTTATTGTATTGGGCGCGCACACAACATGTTTTTTGAGGGCGTAGTTCTATATTACAACTTCTACAATGTGCATACTGGTCGCTCTTTCAAAGTACATTGCAACAATTCTGGAAACTCCTTTTTCGATTCTTGCTTATAGGATTGTGAATATTTTTCTGTTTTACCCCTGAACTGATGAACTCACCTCTAATTTTAATTAAATATTTATTCTGAAAACATAGAGGTTTCGGTTTCTTTATTGCTTGTCCGGTGATGAGGTAATGACGGTAATCTACCGTCAATATTTCATTTGAAGCTTTTATTTGTCATAAGATTTTAGCAAAACGTAAGTTTGTAAAGGCAACACCGCACCCTGCAGCCCAGTTGACAAGAACGACAATCTGTTAAGATTACTGATGTTTAGATCCACAAAAAGAATCGATATGTATCGATTCTTATCGTTTTAGGAAGTATCGATACTCTAAAATATTGGAATGAAATTATCGATATCCAGCGGAAGGAAACAAAGAAGGAAAGTAATCTGAAATTAGTCACTCTTTCTGATACAGTCTGGATCGAAAGATGACGATACTCGTGAAATGTATCGATACGCCCAAGTGTCGTATATAAAAATATCGATATAAAATTTCGGGTATGGGAAGCAAAAGTATCGATACTTCTAAATATAGGATCGTATCGAACATCCCTACTGTCAAGATGTATAACCCGAGGTACCGACGGAGCTATTTTGGGGCGTCATAGAAATAATTTTAAATTTTCATTTGCATTTTTTTAAGTGTTATGCAACGATTTTGGGAAAAATTCCATATAAAGCATAGTAGAGTATATTTCAACAGTTGGCGGAGCCTACCGGTTACCCCACTGGGACCAAGGGTTGACGGATCCCACACATGTGTCACTCGTTGGGGAGTCTTGAAATGTACAGGTAATAATCAGCTGTTATTCAAATAATGTCTAATATAAATAGAACCTAGAATGTGTACTCAGTGAAACAAGAGAGTTATTGCAAATTCTATTTTTTTGCAGGTTTCAAGTTTGCCGGTAGCTTTACGACATATATTTGAGTATTTCTTAATCGCTGTAAATACTGTGTGGATGTTTGTTCAGTTCCTGAACTACCAAAAAATATTTGACTTTATGGATGTATGGATATCAAAAACCCTGAATGGTTTTGTGGGAATATCAATCGACGGTGCTATAATGGTACTGATGAACAGCAAGTAAATGAATGAATGTCTGGAAACGAGCAATATCTATGAAATTTTTGGTGGAGCCTGTCATCAAGTAGGTGCTTAATGGCTGTATGCAAGAGGTTTATAGGTAAAAACACACGGTAGGTAATGTTGAATTAGTAAAATCGCATATCAATTGAATAAAATAATATAAATATGAATAAACAATCGGCAATATTAAATAAAAACATGAATTTTGTTCAAAAATCGAACACTTTTTTAAATTTTTGACTAAACCATAATATGTAACTTCTTAATAGTCAATAAGCTGGTGATGTTTCAATAACAAGCTGTCATCTCATACTTTGACAGCATTTTGTTTTCAACATTTCATAGCTATTGGTTGCTAAAATTTGTTGATTGGAACTTGAAGCTCATTCGCTGTATTTGACGGAGTGTTACCCTATAGGTGGAAAATAACGGACTGTTGATTTGACCATCCTCGTGAAATCCACCCTTAGTAGATTTTAAAAAAATGCGACGTATATCTATCAAAAATTATAAACGGATCTTTTTTAAATATTAGCATACATCCAAAAATGAACCTACCCGCTGACAATCCGGCAAGCAACCTTCCAAGGATAAGCATCTCAACACTACCAGCAGGCTTGCAAGAGAAGAACATTACGGCAGCCATTGCAGCCAAGGCAGCGCATATCACCAAGACGCTCTTTCTGCCCAACCGGGCGGCCAGTGCAGAGCCGCCCAATGACCCTACGGCCGCCCCCAATATGAACGTGCACACCACTGTGGACCATACTATGTTCAGGGCACATGGGGATGGATAATCGCCATAGTGGGCGAATATACTTTCGTTGCAGAATTGTCGGATGATCTGAAATTGGAACATTTATAAAAACGACTTCAAACGATTAAATAGTTTGTTCTTGTAAAATAGCTAAATGCAATCTCTTTCATACAAAAAAGAAATATCAAAACCTGTTCACCCCTCGTTCATCCATTTATTCCTCTCCCAATTATTGATGGCATGGAAAAATTGATGGGCGATATATGGATGGATGAAAGAATTAGACAAATTAATTATTTCCCTAAAGGGGCTCTTTGAACACTCTTCAAGGGTATGAAAAAATTAGCAGGTCATTGAAAGTATTTGTTTCGAAACGATGACCTTTCTTAAGAGTGTGAGTATTTTCTTGAATTTTGTAGTCCACCTAGTGGTTCGTACTCTTAAATTCGACTTGATCTGCTTTTGCGGTGTGATGTTCTTTTAATCAATTGCACCAGTGAATTTCTGTGTAAAATATCCAAGCAAAGACTACTCCACGCTGTCTATTTATTTTTAGACTGCGGCGTGCGCTCAGCTCCAATGGTTGAGGTAGCAGTATGTCTGGTAAAAATAAGCCACCAGACATAGATAGGCGATGTGAGGATTGTGAAGAGGATATCCGTAAAGGCAGTGCAAAGTAAAATGTTGTAATGTAAATTGTGAAGTTACCCTACATCAGAAATGCTTCTCATCGATTGCCAAAGCTATAAAATTAGAAAAATCATATGGCAATGGAGCTTGCTAAAGTGAAGTTAAAATTCGGCTACTATTAACTGACCTTATTAATGAGTTAAAATCTACTAACAAAATTTTGCTTGATAAAATTGAACAAACCACATCCAGCAGACCTCCCGATGCGCAAATACAGCAGAATACTGAAATCTCGAACCTTATAGTCAAAAACTAAACAATCATACCAAGGCTGTTTTAACTATTTCGTCAAATGATCAAAAACAATCAATCTCTGATGTTTTGAATACTGTTAAAGCGAATGTTAACCCTGCTGCTGAGAAAATAGGAATTAATGGTGTTAAGCTTATAAAAAATGGAATGTTGATTAGTTGCTCTGACGAAGAATACTCAGAAAACCTTAAAGGCGTAGTTCAGAATAAGTTTAGCAGTAAGTATAAACTAACAGCTCCCAAACACTTCAAACCCCGTCTCTTGATTGCTGATGTTGAGAAATCACTAATAATGATAAAAACACTTTCCTCAAATAATGATTACTTGGTTGAATGTATATAAATGTGATATCTATTCTGAAGCTAAAATATGCGTTGAGTTATATAGTAGAGGTTGATCCTGATGTGAGGAAATTAGATGTTTTAGCTATTCTCGATTCGTTCATTTGAAAAACAGGTTGCAAAAATAAGTCTGTGTGTTCCCTATATTCTGATGGATATTTTTAACTATGTTAGTAAGAAATGTGTGAATTGCTGTGTATATAATAAAATTATATGAAAAGTCATTCTAGAGATTTTAAGCCATATCCAGTTGATCATGCTGCATCTGACAGACAATGTCCATGTTATTTAAAGGAATATGGTGAATTAAAATCTAAAATTGACTATGGCTAGGGCTAATAACAAAGTTTTAAATATTCGTCATCTCAATGTGCGGTCCTTGACTACTGCTTTTGTAAATTAGTTCAAAACAAATTCGATTTTATATGTATTACCGAAACGTGGCTTAATGAAACCATTCCGAATCAAGCTGAATCTAGCTAGGCTATCAGATTTTGCGTAGAAATCGTTTGGGTAGGGGTGGGGGAGTGGACTTGTACATAATAAATAACTTCAACAATACTGTTATTGATACCTTTGATTCTGTAAGCGACTCTACCATAAGCGCCCATATAGCAAACTCCAGCAGTTGGTGACAATTGAAGACCGGGGGAGGGGAGGTGCAAAAAACTCACACGCCACTTCTTACCCAAGGATTGGGTATCTTATTAAGAATATTTCACTTTGAAGCAGAAGCCATGGGGCCATATGCCCCCCTTGCACCCCCCCCCCCCTCCAATGGATGCCCATGGACTCTACCTTAGATTTGATGTGCTGCAAACTCAGGATGAGCAACTCTACACTATTTATTGTCATTGTGTATCGCCCTCCTCATATTTCAGTTACGCAGATTTGCTTTCTTTTTTCGTACCTCAATATGATAATATAATAGTTCTTGGTTACATGAATATTTACCTTTCAAATCATGACAATCCTTTGAGCAACTATTTCGATCATTTTAAATTTGATCAATTAATAAATGAACGTGTAAGTTTCCTAAATTGGAATCCAAGTTAGTAACTTTTAGAGATATAAAAAATGTTAATGTTATTAATTTCCAGGGCGGCTTACTTCATGTTGGACATGATAATGTATTTTATTTTATGGATACTGATGAAAAAGTAAGTTGTTGAACTATTTGCGTAATACACATGTATTGATATCCATGCGCCATTACGAACTGCTCGTGTAACAAAACCGGCTGCTCCATGGATAACGTCTAACTTGAAAAGCATTTTTAACAAACGCGACAAAGCGCTCTCGAATTTCCGTCATACCCATCTGATGTAAACTGGTCTACGTACAAAGATATGCGGAATTACGCACTTGCTTCCTTCCGTAGGGCGAAGAGAGCCTACCTTGCTAGGATAAATACTAAATTACATCACGCATATTATTAATATCTGCTTAGAGAGGGGCGTTTTTCCATCCAACTGGAAGGAGGCAATAGTCACACCTTTAGCCAAAAATAATAATCTATCTGAACGTGCCGATCTTAGACCTATAAGTGGCTTATGTTTCTTGTTGAAAGTCTTAAAGAAAATACTATACCAGCCTGTAGTGAGCTCACAGCGACACTAACATGCACCGAGGTCTCTTCCACTCACACAAGGGATCTTCAGCCACCCGCATCACGCGCAGGTGGCGCCTTAATGTGTTATGACCAGACAACAGTCAAACCAGCTACCTTAGATTAGCTCTATCCAAAGATAAGCAGAAACGTACATCCTTAGCGCTGGGCTCTACAATGAGTTCTCGTGTTGTCTTGCATTCCACTTCTCCATTTTCCTCCTAACTCTTTGCACGGGCACCCCTAAGGCTGGCTCAGGACCAACGAGCTTGCTGGATGATCCTGTCTTCGCCAGAGCGTCCGCCGTCTCATTCCCCTTTTGCCCAGCGTGTCCCGATACCCACACTAACGATAACGGATGCCTTGTACTAGACAATCTAGAGCCTCCCTGCATTGCAATACAACACTCGAAGTAATCTTACAGGCACTTAGTACCTTCATTGCAGCCTGGCTGTCGGAGAAGATTGTTATTCCTCTCCTAGGCCCACCCCCCTCCAAAATGAGGAATACACAAGCCAAGAGGCAGAGATAGCCTAGTTGTAGGCCCAGGGACCCCGGCGCCAGAGCCCTCTTCGGTGACCGAGCCGTCCGTGTAACAGACTTGCCCACTCACTCCGGCGAACCTCCGGCAAACCAGCGTCCCACTCATACCACATTAAACTTGCGATCAAAGCGATATTTAGGGGTAATTAGATCACCCCTGCTCTACACCTTGCAGATGAGATACTTGACAACCTTGACGACAAATCCGGCACGCTGTTGGTCATGCTTGATTTTCCAAGGCTTTCGATACGGTCAATCATGAGATTCTTTTGAGTAAGCTAAAGTATTATGTCGTTTGGTTTTCAGAAAGTTCAGAATCACATCCTCTTCCCTGCATCTGGACAGAAATGCCAGGGAAGCCAATAGTTGAGCTTTCTTTTTCCTTAGTTGTTGTAGTTGTCGATATCGTACTGTTACTTCCTCCCCATAGAGGCGTTGAATGAAATGAGAAAGCCTTTCGCGGCCATCATCCAATGTTATTTGATCGGTTTTTGGGTAGTTAGGCCATCGTAAAATATTTTTACTTGACGTTTCGCCAACACATTACCGTACTTTGACGAACAAAAAGCGTCCTAGCGCTCATACGGTTTCGATGGACGGCCGAGTTCTACCAAAGAGCCATTCAATCCGGCTGGTCGGAGTCCAGATCACCGAGGACCTGATCTGGCACGAACACATCTCGTCAATAGCTGCAGCTGCTGGGAAAAAGCTAGGCTATTTGTTTAGGGCTAAGAAGTACTTTTCTCCGCATGACCTTCTCACTCTATACAAGGCCCAGATAAGGCCTAGCCTCGAGTATTGCTCACACATTTGGGGTGCTGCCGCTCTGACTACATTGTCTTGACTACATGCTGTCCAGAGGAGGGCGGTCCGACTGATCGATGACTCTTCTCTAACAGACAGTCTCGGGACTCTTTCGCACCGGCGGGCCGTCGGCGATATAGTTCTTTTCTATCGCTACACCAACAGGCTTTGCTCCTCAGAGCTCTCTTCCATGATGCCGCCGCGCGATGTGCCTGCCAGACAGACCCGCCTGACTTCGGCGTCCCATCCTAACCGTGTCAAACTTCGTACATCCAGAACTAGCCGATACGATCGCTCCTTTGTCCCGAGGGTATCTAGATTGTGGAACAACCTACAAGAGGAAGCTTTTCCCAGTTCTACTAACCTTAGGCAGTTCAAAAATCGTATTAACAAAATTTCTTTGGGATCATCATAGCAGCCGCGGTGTTCCGGCATTTAGGCTTCTGCCTGCGCGGCTGTTTCGATATAAAAAAAAAACACGAGTGGTTGGCATCCTCAGAAGGTGTTCACAGTTCGGAGATGCCAGAAGACCGGGCTCAGGGGATGGATCCGTACTGAAGCAGCCATAATTTTACAGAAAGCTAAGCCACCTAAAAGCAACCTAAAGTCGAAAGAATTAAGAGCAATAAGAGATCTGAACAGAGACGAGAATGTTCAGGTTTTGCCGGCGGACAAAGGGAATGCCACCGTGGTCATGGACACCGAAGATTATACATCCAAAATCAATGACCTCTTAGATCGGAGTACCTACAAACGGCTAACCAGAGACCCAACCCAACTCATTGTCAGAACAACGAAATCACTGGTACAAAAGTCGAGCCTTAAAGATGAAATTAAGAAAAAGGTGTGCAGAAGTGAAGCACTAACTCTACGAATCTATGGCTTACCAAAGATCCACAAAGCCAACATTTCCTTGCGTCCCATTGTTAGTGCTATAGGCTCACCAATATATTACCTAGCCAAGCACCTCACAACCC